AAGTATCATAGTTATAGAGTACAGGCTTTCCTACACAGCAAACCTTACAGTAAGGTTTAAGAATAGACACTGAACAAGAAATGACCAACTTTTCCTTCACAAGTACACCAAGTGTTCCAGAAAGTTCCTATAAAGGAGAATTAAATCTTATGATATAATCTAGATGTGACTAAAAAACAAAAAAAACAAAAAAAACAAAAAAAACAAAAAAAACAAAAAAAAACACTGAACAAAACCCTGGAGTCCTGGGACATCATAGCTGCAACATGGACAGTGACAGCCCGGTCCCCGGCACCATGCTTGTGTCTCACACACATCCCTGGTTACCTCAGACTGCACAAAGGTGACGGGAACACGTTCGTCTTCCAGCATGCGCCTGGACGCCTTTTGCCAATACATATAATCAACAAGAGATTTATGGTCGAAGTTTCCCGTCGGTGGCTTGTCTGTCTGATCTTTCTGGATCATGCCCACAGGAAGGTGAGGGTCAGGGGCCATGACTTCCATTTCTGACTGCAGCTCCTTCAGCTCTTCGGGAGACAGGTTGGCCAAGAGCTCATCTTCATCAAGCTCCTCCTCAAGGAGCTCTTGATCTGAATTCCTGCTATGCTCTGACATTATTTTTCCTATGTTTCTATTTTACTAAAAAAAAAGAAGAAATAATCAAAGATGATTTTTAAAAAAGAGGAGGAAGAAAAACACGAGAAGTTCTCCGAGTTAACAAGTATCTCAGGTCAACCCACCCTTGAGATATTTTTTCCCCCAGAGCCTCAGTGGTGTTTGCTGGGTGGCTAAGAGCGACTGCGACTAAGCTCGGGCCAGATCTATATTAAGCAGGGCTTGGCTGGATGGGGTCAATTTATGGAACTACTACACGGCTCTCCTTTTGGCAACTTGAGTCAGCTGTGCAAATCCATTTGACATTTCAGTACAGCTGCTTGCATTTGCCAGTAAGTAGTGAGTCTACAGAATCTCTGCAGGAATGAAATTCATTTTCTTCCTGGGTGCCCTCACATTCCTGCACAAAATTCTAGCAGCCCACCCCGGTGCACCCCATTCCTCCGTGGGGCCCTGTTGTTCTCTACTTAAAGGATGAAAACAACTTACAAAACGCCAGAAGAGAAATCCAGCCAGCAGTCTCAGTTCTCGTGGAGTGAAAAATTCACGTTAGGGTGAGAATCGAGCTCTTGGAGGTTCCCTCTTCGCTCCAGTGAGACTCTGAAAGCCAATGAACCTGCAGAAAGCAGAGCAGCGGTCTTGCTACTCTAATCGTGTCTGTGTAAGCTGAACCTTTGCAAGCCGTCCTTATTTGCATCTAGATCCTGTGATCTACCAGGTGGGGATAACCAGCACTTGAATTTCCGCCATGAGAGAGGAGTTTAATATTTTAAATTATTTGGTTTTCTTATTAAGTATCCATTAAGCCTAGCTAAAATAAAGTGGAGCTAAAATGAAATGTACAAAGTCTGGAACATTAAAGCACTACAAGATAATATGAGAAGAGATTTTGTAATTTCAGGAGGTCATGTAACAATATTTATTCAAATTACAAATGTATATTTCCCTTGATCCAGCAATTCCACTTTTAGAAACATACCCTTCAGTTATATTCCCACACAGAAGAAAGGACAAGTGTTCTAGCTTACTCAGTACAGCAAAGTGTGAAACAGTGTGTATCACAGAGTATTTATGTGACAAAGGGCAGCAAGAGCATATATAAATATAAAAATGATATCAATGCAACAGATCCTTAGGAAGATACTCAAAAAAGCTAAAACCTTGAACACTTGAAAAAGGAATCAGTTGACTGAAAGAACTAAAAAAAATGACTTTTTACTATAAATCCTTTTATCATTTTCAAACCTTGTGAACATAAAATTTATTCAGAAATATTCATTTATTATACAAAAGTTAACATAAGGAAGGTACATAAAAAAATGAAAAGTTTCCTTTTTCTCCCCACTGCCTAGAGCTATCATTATTGACATTTTGATTTATTATTCCAGTCATTTCTTTTAGGATTGTGAGCTCTCTTCTCTTTGTCATCTGTTTTTGTTCATTTTGTGGTGCTGGGGATCAAACCAAAAGCCTTGCACATGCTAAGCAAGTGCTCTACCACTGAGCTACATTCTCAGTCCGGCCAGCCATTACTTTTATTTTAAAAAAAGAAAAAAACAACAATAAAAACAATGATATAGAATTTCAAAACATGATAACAGGATACTAACAATGATTAATATATTGCATATTTTGTCTTCAAAGTAGTTGTTCAGAGGACAAGATATAGGCATGAAAAATTAATCAAACTGTAAGCACAAACCATTCATTTTAATGAACTAATAGAAATTAGTATATTTATTCTACCTATATTCTGTATATCTTTCTATGTATTTTTTTCTTTTCCCTTCCATCTTTTCTCCTTTCCCCCAACCCAGTTGCTATTTATTTATTTAGTCTTGTTTTTGAGACAGGTTCTCTCAGGGCAGTTCAGGCTGGTCTTGAACTCACTTTGTAGCCCTTGAACTCGCAGCAATCCTTCTGCCTCAGCCTCCTGAGTGCTGGGATAACAGGCATATGCCACTGTGCCTGGCTCATTGTTCTTTTCTTTTGAGCAATTTCTTTCCCTTTTACAATATCTACTGTACATTATGAATCTTATTTATTCTTTCAGTTTCTTACACTAGGGAGACAATGTGATGTTTACCCATCCAAGTCTGATTTATTTCACTTGTGAATATGGTCTCTAGTTGCATCCATTTGCCTATAAAAACATCAAGTTTATCCTTCTTTATAGCTGAGTAGTACTCCATTGCATAAAAATACCACATCTTTTTTACCCATTCCTCAGTTGTTGGGCATTTGGGTTGTTTCCAAGATTTCACTATGACAAATTGTGCTGTTACAAAGTGTAACATTAGTGCACACATATAATTGTGTGTAACAATTTGTGTAACAAATTGTGTGTAACAAATTGTGCTGTAACAAATTGTGCTGTTACAAAGTGTAACATTAGTGCACACATATAATTGTGGTATTATATTTTTAATTCTGGGAAAATACCCAGAAGAGGAATAGCTGGGTTGAATGGGATCTTTAATCCTAGTTTTTTGAGGAATCTCAAAACCACTGATTGCCACAGGGATTGCACCAGTCTACATTCACACCAACAGTGGAAGATGGTTCTTTTTTCCCCACAACCCTACTAGCATTTGTTACTGGTTGATTTTTTTTTTTTTTTTTTTTTTTACTGGTTGATTTGTTGATGATAGCCATTCTTTTTGAGGTGAGATGGAATCTCAGTGTTGTTTTGTTTTAATTTGCATTTCTTGAATGACCAATGCTGTGGAACATTTTTTGTGTATTTTTTTGCCATTTGTATTTCTTCATCTGAGATGGGCATATTCACCTCAGATGCCCATTTTTGAATTGGGTCTTTGAATTTGAAGGGCCTGGTTTTTTTCAGTTCTCTATATGTTCTGCATAGAAGTGCTTTGTCTGAGAGATACTTGGCTAAAATTTTTTCCACTCTGTGGGTTTTCTGTTCACTCTGTTGGTGATTTCTTTTGATGTGCAAAAACTTTTCCGTAAGATGAGATCCCAGTTGTTGATTCTTTGAAGTATTTTTTGTGCAGTTTGGTTTTTATTCGTGAATTCTCTGCCTATCCCTATGTCTTCATGATTTCTACCTACTTTCTCTTCCAGTAGATTAATGTTTCTATTTTAATATTAAATTTTTGATCCATTTTGACTTGAGTTTAGTATATGGTGATAGACATGGTTCTAGTTTTAGTCTTCAGCATGTAGAAAACAAGTTTTTCCAGCACCATTTATTAAAGAGGCCATCTTTTTTCCAGTGAACATGTTTGGCCCTTTTGTCAAAGATAAGATGGCTGAGTGTCTTTGTGGTTCTGCCTGCATCTTCCAGTCTGTTCCACTGATCTTCAGGTCTGTTTTTTTGCCAATACCATGCTGATTTTATTATAGTAGCCTTGTAGTATAATTTCAAGTCAGGGATGGTGATACAACCTACCTTGCCATTGTTGCCCAGAATTGCTTATGCAATTCTAGGTCTCTTATGGTTCTAAACAAATTTTAGGAATATTTTCCCTAGTTCTATGAGGTGCGCTAATGGTATTTTGATCAGGATTGCATTAAGTCTGTACAACAATGTTGGGAACATGGTCATTTTAACTATGATGGTTTCTCCTATACATGAGCAAGGGATATTTTTCCATTTTCTGAATCCTCTTTGATCTCCTTTTTCAGAATATTGTAATTTTCAATGTATAGATCTTTTACCTCTTTTGTTAGATTGATTCCTAAGTATTTCATTGTTTTGGTTACTATTGTGAAGGGTGTGATATCCCTAATTTCTCCCTCAGTGAGTTTATTTGTGTACAAGAATGCTATTGATTTTTGAGTGTTGACTTTGTATCCAGCAATACTAGTAAATTTGCTTATTACATCTAGAAGTCTTTGGGTGGAGTTTTTGGGGTCTTCTATGTAGAGTATCATGTCATCTGTGAATAATGTGATAATTTCACTTCCTCCTTTCCTATCCTTATTTCTTTTATTTTTCTCCTTGTATAATTGTTCTGGATAGTGTTTCCAGAACTATATTGAATAGGAGTGGTGATAGTGGACATCCTTGTCTTGTTCCTGATTTTAAAGTGAAAGCTTTCAGTTTTTGTCCATTTAATATCATGTTAGGTGTTAGTTTGTCATACATGGTTTTTATCAGATTGAAGTAAAGACCATCTGTTCTGATTTTCTATAGTTTTTTTTTTTATCATGAATGAGTGTTGGACTTTATCAGAAGCTTTTTCTGCATCTATTGAGATAATCATGTGATTTTGTCTTTGGCTTTGTTAATATGGTGTATTATGTTTATTGATTTGCATATATTGAACCATTTCTGCATTCTGGGATGAACCCCACTTGGTCATGGTATATAATTTTCTTGATGATTTGTTGCATTCTGTTTGCTAGCATTTTTTTTGAGTATTTTTGCATCAATGTCCATTAGGGAGATTGGCCTGTAGTTTCCTTTTTTGGCTGGGTCTTTCTCTGGCTTTGGTATCAGGATAATAATTTCCTCTAGGAGTGAGTTAGGGAGGATTGCTTCCATTTCAATTTCATTAAGCAGTTTGAGGAGTATTGGCTTAAATCTTCTCTAAATTTTTTGTAGAATTCATCCCTGAACCCATCAGGACCTGGGCTTTTCTTTGTTGGTAGGTTTTTAATTTAGTTTTCAATTTCATTAACTGATATTGGGTTATTCAGAATTTTTATATCTTCTTGATTCAGCTTTGGTAATTCATATGTTTCTAAGAATCTATCCATTTCTTGTGTGCTTTCCATCTTATGTGAGTAAAGATTTTCAAGGTAGGTACTGATGATCTTCTGAATTTCCACAGGATCTAGGCATTTCACCCTTTTCATTCCTCACTGCATGAGTTTGAGTTTTTCTCTCCTTCTTTCAATTAGATTGGATAAGCATTTATCAATTTATTTCTTGTTTCAAAGAACCAACTCTTTGATTCATTAATTCTTTGTGTTGTTGTCTTAGTCTCCATTGCATTAATTTCTGCTCTGATCTTTATAACTTCCTCCCTTGTATGGACTTTGTGCTTGACTTGCTCTTTGTTCTCTAGAAGCTTGAGGCACAGCATTAGGTTATTTGTGCTCATTCTGTTTTCCTGATATGAGAATTCACTGCTATAAATGTCCCTTTTAGGACTGCTTTCACTGTGTCCCACAGGTTCTGGTATGTGGTATTTGCTTTTTCATTTGATTGTAGATATTGTTTAATTTCTTCTTTAATTTCATCTGTGACCCATTGGTTGTTCAGAAGGGTGTTGTTTAATTTCCACATGTTTATGAAGTTCTTACGGTTTCTTTTGTCATTGATTTCCAGTTCATTACCCTATGATCAGATAATATGCGTGGGATAATTTCAGTTCCTTTGCATTTACTTAAGTGTTGTCTATGAGCTAGTATGTGATTTATTTTAGATCTATGTGTGCAGCTGAGAAGAATGTGTATTCTGATGTTGTTTGGTGGAACACTCTATAAACATCTACTATGTCCATTTGTTCAAAAGTTCAGTTTAATTCTAATATTTCATTGTTGACTTTTTATCTAGTTGATCTATCTCTTTGTGACAATGGGATATGAAGGCCCCCCATTACAACTGTGTTACTGCTTATTTGTTTTTTCATGTGTATTCATATTTGTCTTATATATTTGGGTGCTCTCGTATTTGATGCATATATAT